AACCACAAAAAAATAATTGCCTTTTATAAACTTTCTCAAATGTCTGCAAAAGACAAAGTTAATCTTTACAAAGAAATCTTTCCAAAAAAATGCTAAGACAAATCAATTTACTAGTGAACAAAAGCAAAAACAAAATCAAATTTAAACCTCGCGAGATACTACTAATGATATAAACTGGTTTAAAGAATATCCAGTTACTTCATTTATGAAGCCAAACAACAAATTTAATACTCAAATTACTTACCAACTATTTGACTTTATTAGATCACACCTCATTGACGTTTATCCTAGCAAAGTTATTAGACCAGCCTCAAACAATCAATGAGAATCTAAATTCAATTACATGTACAGTATCCTCAGAAAGTTTATCATCGTTATACAAAAAAGCTTAACAAAAATTTATGCAAATGTATAATACATATATGCAAATTGTAAGTAAGCTAATTGCATTATTAATCATTATGAATCGATATATCACGTCATTAATCATACAATAAATAAAGAAACAAAAAGAAATTATTACATATCATATCATTAATCATACGATAAATAAAGAAACAAAAAGAAATCATTATGTATCATGTCATTAATCATTATCAATAAATAAAGAAAAAAAAGCAAAAAAAAATCTTTCATTATTATCAATAAATTATTTTTGCTAAACCATGCCTAAAAATACTCATTTAGCCAACTTTGAAAAAGGTCAAATTATTGGAATGCATAACACTGGAGTTACTTTAACTTCTATTGCTGAAGAAATAAACCGTGACCATTCTACAGTATCTAAATTCTTAATTCGGGTTAGAGAACGAAGAAGTATTGAAGTTGCTTTACGTTCAGGAAGACCATCGATCTTTACTAATGAAGATGAACAAAATCTTATTAATGCAGTGATTAATTGCAATAAGTTATCTCTTCATGAATTATTGAGTAACAATGAAATTAATATTTCACAAGCAACGGCAAGACACATCTTATACAGAAATGGAATTTGGGGACGTATGATTGCCAAAAAACCAGGATTGATCCCAAGACAAGCAGAATTGCGACTCGCTTGGTGTATTGCTCATGCAAACTGGAGTGTAAGTGATTGGCAGAAGGTTATTTTTAGTGATGAATCATCAGTTGAGATCGGTAGTTGCTCATGACGAAGTTTCGTATGGAGAAAAAATAATGACTGTTATAAACCATGCAATACGATGCCAACATTTAGAAGTGGAAAAAGAAGCTTAATAGTATGGGGATGCTTCACAGGAGAGAAAAAGGGCCATTGGCTTTTATGAGAGAAAGGAATGGTGGTGGTGCAATAAATTCGCAAAGATATGTAGAAGTATTGAACGAAAACTTGATACCTTTTCGACATGAATTAATTGCCAACTATGGAAATGATATAATCTTCCAAGATGATAACGCTCTTATTCATCAGTCAAAATATACTCGAGATTGGATGGAATCTGAAAATATTTAACATTTTTCATAGCCAGCACAATCACCAGATATCAATCCAATAGAAAATATTTGGAAAATATTAAAGGATAATGTTTAGCAATGAAGACTGCCACCAAGAACATATGAAACGTTGAAAATTGCTCTTTTAGAAGAATGTGAAAGGCTAGACATATCAATTTTAATGAATTTAATCAATAGTATGCCAAATCGTATTGCTGAAGTTATTGCTAATGAGGGCTATGGTTGCAGATACTAGTATACTTAATATCTGATATATATTGTAATAATTGTATATTGATGTATTGCATAATATTAATTTGCGTAATGATAATATATTGCTAAATTTGCATATTTACAAAATTCTTGTTAAGTTTTTTTGTCTAATGGTGATAAACTTTCTGAGAATACTGTACCTTGTTAAAGTCTTGATAGGGAAAAAACCTAAATTCCTTACTGATTTCATTCACAGCAGCAATTCCACTATTAATCCAGACATTAAAATTCCCTTTAAACTCCTTCTCTCTACTTTTATTGTATTACTCAAGCAGTTTACTACTACTTTATTCACACAACTTAATTATCCTAAATTTTTTTCATCCTATAATTCCATCCCACCTTATTCGATTTCTAACAGAAAACAAGTTGCACTTAACCTAGCTCGCCTACATCTTATTTTACATAATAAATACAAAACAATCAACTCTAACAAATTCTACAAAGATCTTAATATCGCACTAATCTGATTTAAGCTCTATTACTATATCAGTGAGGATAGCATCAACCAACCACTATTCAAAATTTAAAATGATTCTAAATTCAACATTAATATTTCATTTAACATACCCAAAAAACATTCCTTAGAAACCTTCCAAATACCTTCTCTTAAAAAATATTTACCAGACTTTGAATCTTGGTTTAACAAATTTTTTGATATCTACAAACATCAATTTACTAATATTGACAAACAAAAAACATATAATCATATTAAATATCAAATTGGTCTTAAGCTTTCCAATATTTGTAAAGCACTTCTTCCTAAAGAATTTGCTATTACTAGTGTTAACTCACTACGTGAAAGATCTTTCTTATATTTTAAAGCTGCTTGTACTATCAAAAATTGCATTACTCTACCCAAAAACACTAAACATAATGCTAAAAACCTATCCATATTCTTCTTCAAAGAATCATTTAACCACTTTCCTACTCCTCCTAAAACTACTTCTACAACATCCAAAATTGTATATACTCATCTTGATCTTGACTTTTCTATATTTGACAAGGACAAATAACATGCTGCAACATTTTAAAAACCTACTTCAATTTCTTTTCTATGCAAACTTGCTACTGAAAATGAAGAAAAATTTATGGAGCTAATAAAGTAGTAACAGACTCTTCTTGTGAAAGTTACTACTTTTATAGCTATCTCAATGCATTTCTTAAAGCTGCTGCCAAAAATGTTCAAATCAACAACCTTTATCTCCAACAAGCAATTGATAAAATTACTAACAAGCCAATCAAAACAGACTATCTTGCTCAAGTTCTCACATACTTTCATATTCTTAAAACTGGAGAAAAACTTTCTATCATATATATCAAAAAAGTTTACAAAGAGATCTTCTTTCCTCAAGCACAAGATATTATACATACAAAGTTTAATATTAACTTCAAAACACCAAAAATTCTATCAAACATCTTTTTCTACTCTGGCACTACCAGTCTATCCAAATCTTCTACCTCACAACAATCCAAGGATACTACTAACCAAACCTCCACATCCAAATCTAATAAAGACCAAACATCCTCCTCTGAACTTAATGAAGATAATGATGTCATTATGACAGATTCAAATGATGACTCTACTACTAATACAAATGACCAAACTGCTGATAATAAAAACTCCAACTCCAACAAAAACTTACAACAAAATCTCCAACTTATTACTACTTTCTCATATAATCCTTTTCAATAAATTCTTCTATAGACTTCATTAAAGCAGCCACCGCTTCTAAAATAATGATGTCCTCCACTTTTAGTGGGCCTTTCTCAGAAGAGAATAATGTAAGTAGACAGATAGTTAAGTCCATTTACGTGGAGGACCAAGTTAATGATGATCAGACCAAACATACATAGCAGACTATAGAACTTTTCGCAGCTGTGAGAACCGAGCTTAAAATTGTGAGTGCAACTACAGAAGTACATTTACCCAAATCATTACCAACATTATCCAACTCCTATAATTTGGAAATATGCTATAACAAATTTTTTACTTATTGCCAACTTCCTTTATTAGACAAACCACAAACTGTTAATTCTTTTTTACCACATTTACGACAAAACAATGTTGACTATTTAGCAGATTATGCTTTTATTACAGTTCACAGTAATAAAAGTGAAGCAC